ATGTGTATTGTTTAATCCACCCAGTCCATGGTATTCCATTCTACAGCCCAAATGGACTAAGGCAGATAGTGACAAATGCTGTGATGATAATAAAAGAGTTATGTAACCTCAACTCTAACCCCAGCCCTGGGTGAACATACTGTGTCGTGGTCAGAGATGTCTCTCTGAAACAGGAACAAATGAGCTGAGATCTGCTCGTCAAGCAGAAGACAGTGAAGGGACCATGTGGGGGAAGATAACTGTGGGGAGAGGGAACAAGACCAGAGGTTTTGAGGTGGGAGCAAGCTTGATGTGTTTGAGGAACAGCAAGGAAGTCAGGATGAAAAGGTGTAATGAGTGAGTTGTAGTAGTAGGTGATGGGCTGAAACACACAGGAAGGACCTAACTTCTACAGGACCTGGAGGCCATGGAGAGGAGTTTGGATTTTCTTCTACAGTTTTCTTCCAATGATGGGAAACACTGTAGAATATAAGCAGAGGATGACATGATGTGATTTATTCTTTTGAAAGTTCATTCTGGATGACCTGGGGAGAAGAGTGGAAGCAGGGAGCTCGAAGGGGTCTCAGAGGGCAAAGGCAAGAGGTGATAGGGTCTTGGACTAGGACAGTGTCAATGGAAGTAGAGAGTAGTGAGTGGATTAGATACATTATTTTTTGAACTGAGACAGAATTTGCTGATCTATTGGATGTGAAGAGTAAGGCAAATTGAGTCAAGGATGACACAGGTTTTTGGCTTGAGCAAATGAGTAGATGGTGGTGCCATGTGCTGAGAGAAGATGGTGGGGGTAGAAACTAATATATTCTTTTGTTATCAGGGCAAGGGATCAAAACTTCTGTTTTGGGTGTATTAATTTTGAGATGCCTTTTAAAGATGCCTGGCCAAGTGGAGATGTCAAGTAGGGAGGTGTTCGATCCATAAGTCTGGAAGAGAGCATTTAGAGCTGAAAATAGCCATTTGGGAGTCATCAGTATGAGAATGGCATTTAATACTTTGAAAGTGGGTGATGCTGCCAAAGAAGAGAGTGCTGTTGGGGAAGGGGCAGGTATATTTCCCAAGCCCTCATCCCTAAGCCCCAACCTGACCAATGGTCATGGTCATATCCTGTAACACAAGACTTTCATTCCTCCTATTGCATTAAAATAAACATTTACTGTCTCTTCTATATGAAAGGTGTTACCCCAGGGGCTACAAAGATAGGTGACTAATACATGATGCCGTCTCTCAATCTGCTCACTACCTGGCAAGGAAAGAATATAATATAAAGGGAAGGATATGTTAGTGTATTTCTAAGGGAATAGAAAGATCCTCAAATGATAAACTTGGGGAGACAGATTGGGAACAGATCCTGGAAGGCTTAGAAATTGGATTTGTTTTCTGCGTAGACAATAGGACACCATTGAAGATTCCTGAGTTCCATGATCAGATTAATCCACATGCTTCCTATGCATGACTTCTTCACCCTTTTGTGTCTAGCTCAAATCTCACCCCAACCACAAAATATTGCCCATCCTGAGATCAGTGACTTTTCATCTTTAGCTCTTCTGCATTTGTTATCTAGTGCTAAGCCATTTAGCACTACATGATACACTGTCTCTTTCAGGTGGTTTACTGTAGAAACATCTTACCTTTTCCACAGTTCTATAAATTCCTTCTAAATGGGATCCATGCATTATTATTATTTTTTAAAGATGTTATTTATTTATTTATGAGAGACACAGAGAGAGAGGCAGAGAGACAAGCAGGCTCCATGTAGGGAGCCCGAAGTGGAACTCGATCCCAGGACTTCAGGATCGTGCCCTGGGCCGAAGGCAGGCGTCAAACCACTGAGCCACCCAGGGATCCTACAATCCATGTATTAAATCCAATAGTTTCTTGCTCAAGGATAGGAACGTGATAAGTCCTCAAGCAATGCCTCTTGCTTCAAGTGTCACTTTAGGAAATTCTTCCCTGACCTCCGATTAGATGAGGTTTCTTTGTTCTAGGCTTTCATTGAATCATTTTCTAGTACACTTTGCAGTTTTTAATTATATACCCTCTGTGCAACTATTGGAATAGGCTGTACATTCCAAAGAGCAGAGATCACCCCTGATTTTGCTTGTGGTAGCATCCCGAGTTTGTGTGTAACAAACATTTGTTGAGAAATTGAATAGGCATGGCCTTTGGTGCTCAAGGGGCCAGGGGGTTCTAGTGGAGTAGCCTCAGGCATGGTCCACCTGTCTGCTGGCAGTTTCTGAAAGAGCAATGAAATCCACACGGCAAAACTACCGCACAGAGGGAGTATCTACTGATGAACTTCCCGTTTGCTTAGGGACAAACTATTTCCCAGGGGGTGGCTTTTCTATCGGAAGGAGGCCCCTCAAAGGCTGATTTATCATCACTTAGGGCACTCGAGTCCTCCTTTTTGCACAGCTGAGCAGGAGGCAAAGCAGAGTTCCCAACTGTCAGGAAGAATAAGCACGCTGGCAGTAGCCGCGGATCTTCCAGGCAGATGGAGCAACATATGTATATTTACATATATATTTCCTAATCAATAGGTTCCAGCAAAAACATGAAAACTCAAGAACATGATCGGAATTTAAGGAACTCTGAAGGAGTTTAATTCCTTAAAGAAAATTAGTACAATTGTTTCTTTAGCTGACAGATGACTTTGGGACAAAATAGTGCTATTGAATGATCAAACTTTCCTCCCTAAATATGTAAATCTCATCTTCCAAATTAGGTACTTCTCGCATTTCTTCATTAAACAATACATTTCTGGGGCCAGCCAAAACAAGCTTGGAAATCTTTTAACCATATTTCTGGCCCCTGCCTGCTTCTCTCCCTTCACCAGCTACAAGGCCTATTTCTTCTTTCTCTAACAGGCCAAACTTGTCCCCTAGGAGCTTTGCCATTGCTTGTTCTTTTGCCTGGAATGCCTCTTCCCCTAACCTTTGAACGTCTGGATCCTCATCAGTTGGGTCTCAACCCAATGCCTTCTTTGGAGAGGGTTCAATAACGCTGATTAAAGATACTACCTGCCAGTCACTACCACTGAGAAGTCCCTCGTCCCTGGAACCACCTGGCATATAGCAGGTGGTCAGTCAACATCTGTTAATGGAGAACTAGATTAAGATAAGACAATCATGCCCCTGCAGAATCCTATAACTTGTCTATCTGCTATTTGAGCCATGTGTATTGGAGACAATATAAGTGATGGCTTGAAGATCTAGTCTAAGATTTATTGCTTCTGATTTTTGCTTTGTTGATGCATGTGTCTTCAAGGAACATGGCTTGCAACTTTATCCACCACAGAAACCTATTTTGTTCCTGTTAATTCATGTGAAGATGATTTTGTTGCACATTACCAGTCATCTACAACTTCCATTCTATCCCTCCTTCCTTCATAATAGAATCCTTTAAGGCAATGTGTCCAGTTAAAAAATACACATACTCATCTCCCCAGGGTTTCTTACAGCTACAGCAAGTGGGCATGTAATCCAGCTCTTGAGGCTGAGTGACAGAAGTCAGGTGAGGCTTCAGGAAAGCTATCTTTTTCTAGATAAAAAAGATAGACTCAGCTGCTATGTGTCTTTGCCCTTTGACTTTATATCCTTTTCCCTGCCTGGAATGTAGACATAATGCTGAAGGTGAAGTTGTCCTTTGTAGCATGTGTTCTCAGTGCTCTGCCCATAACCGCTCCCACCCCCTGGCACTCACCATTCCTATATTCAACACAGGCTTCCTTCCCAAAAGTTTTGTGACTCTGAGGGGTTTTGCTGATTATATGATCATGCTACCCTATGTGTGCCAGGTTGCAAGTGCCAGTTAGTGAACTTGGGAGTAGCCCTCAATGACAGATGGGAGTTGGTGCATAAACATCTGAGCTCCTTGGCCTTCAGTTACATATACTGCGGGCAGAGAGAGCTCCCCGAGGTCCTCAGTGGGACTGAACAGCAGTGGCCCAAAGCAGTAACCCACTTATTAATGGACCCTGGATTCGGCTTCCTTTTCCCTGTCTCACTTCTTGGGGGAACCCAATCTAGGACATTTTGTGACCATGTAGATGAAAGCCGCATCCTAAAGGTGGAGGGGAATCTAGAAGCAGCCAGAGTCCTTGATGTTAGACTTGAGCCCTGCACCAGCCTGGGACTGACTTCCTCTGGACCTCTTGTTATTTGAGAAATATAAACGTCTTATTTGGGTAAGCCACCGCAATTGGTTTTCTATGGCATGCAGCCAAATGCAACTGTAACTGAGAGACTTGGAGGAATTTTTAGTTGACTCCAAACACCACCAGTTATGGCTTCTAACAAAGCTCACACTCTGCACAATTATTGTCCCCTTACACTCTATGGCATGTTACAGCTAGCTTATATGTTTATTTAATGCTCATGTTAAATTTTGTGAGGTAAGTAACATCAATTCCATTCTGAAGTCCAGAGAGGCCAAGTACATTGTTAAGTGGCTAGTGGTGGATCCAAGTCCAGCGATCTTTGCCATTGGGAGATAGAAACTAGGTTTTCATTCTAAGAATGAAAGCTCTGTGGTATTGAGGTAATGAGCTGTGCTGTTACGTTTCCTTTGCCTGTCTCCTCCTGAGATCCTGTGCTTTTCCATCGTCACCCTTCACTCCCATGGGACTACAGGCATTTGCTTGTACCAGAGGCACATGTCCTATGTGCCAAATCTCATCAGACTTTATATACTAATTGTGTTTTCCAAAACATGTGCTAAATCCTCTTTAGGTCTTTGCCAGGAATGCTTTACCTCAGAAGTGAAAAACTGTTGCACACGTGTCTGCTAACTGCATCCTCATGGACACTGTAGGCAACACATCCATCTCAGTATGGCCCAGAGCACCAAAAACATATAAATGCTTATTAAATATTTTTAAGATTAAAATGCATAACCATAGTAGAATTCAAGTTGGATTAAAATTTACTGTGTAAAATCATTAACATCAAATTCCATCACACGTAAAAATGAATATATACTCAATAGAGGATTTCAGACAAATGAAATAGTCCATTGAACATTTAATAAATATATTCAAGCATGACTTTTTTTTTTAAAGAAAGGACAAAATCATAATGTAAGTATTCATTAAAATGGTGACCATTTAAACATCATCTGAACCACACTAAAATAACGCTTACGCTTATGAAATGTGTTGAGATGTAAGAGTTTATGTATAAAGCTGAGCATTTTCAAAATTCCCGGCCTGGATGAGAAAAGATTGTCTTCTCTTATTGGTGACTCAGGAAATATGATTTACTTGTGTTATAAGTGCTGGTGTGTTGAGACAAGGCTAGCACCCATGGCCGGCTGTGCTCTAGAAAACAAGCATGCCATGCTCCCCATGCCACTCTGGGACATGGGAGACAGAGTCTGATCTGGGGTGAAGCAACATGCAGGATGTGGAGAGGAATACATCAAGGGGTTCACTGAAGCTGGAGGACCACACAGAAAGCCACGTGCTTTAACTTCAAAATGCATGCTAAGTGAGGTGAAGAAGCCAGAAATCTTTTCACAAACATTTCAGATTGGCAACTCCCAAGGTACTCACGTAAGGGTAGTTGGGAGAAATACAAATGCTTGCTGGTCCCAAATCAAGAATTTAACTATCAGAACAGATGCAACGTGAGGATATGCTTATTGAACTACCTAAAACTCAAGTTGAGTATGAGCTCAAAAGATGCCTGTCCATCTGGCATCATTTCAGCTGTCTAGGAATCTATAAAAATGTTTACATATCCATTTTTGGTAAATTCATTTCACAAAGCCATCATTTCATTTCATAAGGACAATAAGGTTCATTAAGTCACAATACAAAATTTATAAATGAGATGACAGGACTATTTAAACACATTTTCTGAGTAAAGGCATTTTCACTAACTATAAAATCCACTGAAACAAAAGATTAATTATACCACAGTTATTGTCAAAAGACTTTTAGACTGTAGTTTAAGTTCAAAAGGTTAAGGATTTTACAAAAACATAACATGAGACTATTCATTACATATGAAGAGTATTTGATTAGATACAGAACATATTAATGTGTGGTTTTCTTCCTCTTGGAAACTAGCTTTAGAAAGTAACACCAAAAAAAAAAAAAAGTAACATCAACTCCAGTTAAATTTTGACTACTGTAATTCCTTATCACTGGCACCATAATTTGGAATATTCAAAGTAACCCAGTTACCAAATAAAGTCACCATTACATTTCTAAAGTTAATTTAACCAGGACATACTGGAGTAGCCAATAGTGATAGAGTATTGTGTAAACTTACAGATTTTTTTCATTAGTTCTCGTATTTTTCCAAAGTCCCATTTCTCAGGACTTTGACCATTAAATATATCTACCTTAAGGTTCCAAACACTCACATCCATTGTGAGAACTTGAGGGATAGATCCATTGGAGGTACTATCTGATGATCTGAAGGATAGGGAACAAACCTCGGACAAGAGATTTTTAGCATTTTTAATTTTTTAAGAAAAAAAAGCCTAGGAAGGAAAAAGTGTTCTATAATCTAGGGTCTAGGGAATGGTGAAGAGCCCTTGCTCTCAAAGCCAAATGTATGAAAACAGTATTTCTTAAAGACATGCAAGTCTACAAGCCAAGGCAAGCTTTGGCTAAATGATTGGTGGTAGCTTTTGTTTGGCTCTGGAGGTTTCCATGGAAACAGCCTGAGACAGAAACGGCAGCATTATCATCTTTATCCATAATGCCATCTGATACAACTGCACACTGATTCATTCATGCTATCCGGAAGAGATGTATTATTTGTGATAAGCCTGGACAAAGGGAGGTGTGAGTTTATCTGGTTACACTCTCTATTTCCTTGCCTTCCTCCATTTGAAACCTTAAATTAAAATCCTGATAAAACCTCCTCTGAACATTTCCCTCAGGAGCCTCTAGTTCAAGTAATGGTTCAATAATCAGAAACCAAATGAAGAAACATGAAGCACCAAATGGAGCTCCACTGCCAAGTTCTTAAAAATCATATGACACCAAGCTTCCTGTAGCTGAAGAAATTATTCTGAAGAGTATTTACAATTCTATTATATTAGGCCTCAACCAGGCAAGAAATACTGTCTCAAGTATTCATTATACACAGTTGAATCAGATGGCCTCATCCATAATTTTTCTCCCTCTTTATATCTAGATCATTTTTGTGTGTATATATATCTATATACTGGTACCTATATCTATGCCTACATATTTAATATATTCACATATACCACATACCAGTATCTAATCTTATTTCAGGTTAGTGCTTCTCAGAAAGACCACAAAAGCAGCCTGAGCTCAGAATTCTCTATCTGAAGTACACAAAAATAAAAACCTCAATAACATTTATAAGTATAAAGAAAACAAACAAGATAAGGAGGCATGCAGCCTTTAGCACCATATTAACCATCATGGAGGGCAAGAGTGTTGACAGAAGTCTAAAGATGAACCCAGCTCTGAGTTTCCTCCTGGGATGAGATCCCAAACACAGAACCCTCTACGGAGTCCAGTACTTTCAAAAAGGGAAAGCCTGAGAAATTCTATTAACAGAAATGTCAAAAATCCATGATTTACCAGAGATAGATGATCTGACATTGTTTCTTATTCTAAAAGCACTGAAGACATTATTCCTTAAGAACAAATTGCTCACTTTTGGAGATCAGTTGGGAAATCACTGCCAGCTCAATGAACTAAATGATGCTTCAGTAAGTTAAAAACACATGATATATCCCCCAAAAGGACCAATTTACTCATGGAAAGTAGTTTATTAATGAGCAGTTAGCTCCCTGATATCTGTATAACAATACAGACATTGGCTACACTAAAGAGACTCGATCTAGCACATACAATTGCACACTCCATATGGCAAAACATCTGAAAAACACCCACATGTCTATGCACTATGGCACTGGTGTGGGAATTTAAATCACAAAATAAAGTCTCAGCTTGATCCTTTCCATAAAAAGGTACTTAAAAGTCTAGGGAAGGGTTTATTTGGAGATGTGCTGATGAAATCTGGTGGTTTTAACAGGGACAGGTAAGAAGTTACAGGGCTAGAAATGACTTGAGATATCACCTAATGCAAATCCTTCAACTTAACTGGCGGGAAAAGTGAGGCCTCAGGATAAGCATCAACCCTAACCATTTGAAGAACCATGACCAGAAGAGGAGGCATGGAACTCTTAGTGTGGCACTTTGTCCATTATGCTTATCTCTCGGGTTCCTTTAAATCTTAGCTTGTGTCATTTCATCAAGCTTGAGGAAAATGACTGAGAAATATCAGATATGAAAAACACTGAATTTTTACAAAGATTTTGGCAATAAGTCACATTCTGATGTGCTTAATATTAACAAGGGGGAACCCCCAGTTATATTTTGGTAAAAATGTTATTTCCTGCATGAAATACGTTCCTTTTGTGAGAGCTGTTTTTGCAGGTACTGGGATAGCTCACAGCTGACGGCTTTCATACGTCCCATCTTTGGAGTAAGAGTTTGATTCAGCAGATCCTAGATCATCAGGTGGGCTGAAATGACTGCTGTCTTGGGAATCTGTATCAATACTTTTGGTTTCTGACTGGAGGTGGACAGAAACTTGAACTGCTATCTCCTGGCCTTGTTCATTCAGAGAACCATCATCTGAATCTCCTTCTGGTGAATTACTCCGGCCCATCTCTGGGTTAATGACATAAATGCCACCTTGAGCATTCAAGGCAGGTCTCTCTTTAATTCTTTCTCCCATGTCATCAGGGTCGTCCACTCGCACAGCCTCAAACATCTCCTCAACAAAGGCCCGACAGTTTAGAATAAGGGGTGGAAGAGGGACACTTCTTGCCAGTTCTTCAATATAACGAGCAAACTCCATCGTCTTAAATTGTGTGACTTTGGCGAGTTCTAGAGTCTTGGCTGAAGTGATGATGGGGATGCGCTTTGCAATCTCAAAGGCCTTTTGAAGTTTCTCAGCCCCTTCAGTTCTGAAGAATTCATTGATAGCCTTCTCAGTCTTACGAAGATGGCTGCTCATCATGCACAACCGTGTAACGTTCAAGATGAGTGTGATTGTAAAGGCAATCAGGCAAACAATCATGTAGTAGACACTCATGTCTCCCGAGGTGAAGATAACACGAAGGGTGACAGAGTAGGAGGCATGGGTTGGAGAGGTGACAAAGCATGTATAGAGCCCTCGGTCATCAAAGACTACACTGGTGATATTCAGGAAGTTATCAGAAATCAACCATTTTCCACCTGATGACCCAACAGAAATAAAAAAAATTACAGCATAAAGAATATTATTACTGAAAAAGCCAACTGCCTTACCATAAATATGCCACCTCTTCACGAGAGTGCTTTACCTCATCTATTAGGTTCTGCTACTTGTGTACAGAGTAGAAATTTAAACAGCCTGAAGTTAAAAAGAGAATCAAGATCTTCCTTCCTGACACAAATGATTACCATAGCTACATTTCGAGGCTAGACATAGCAAGCCTTTCAGGGAGATAGTTATGTCCTATAATGCTAAATGAATAATCTTAAAAAAAAAAGTTTATATGTATGTACCAATACATTTTCATATAATAGAAGAAAATGCCTCAGAAATGCAAAATAATGGTTATTTCTGGGGTAATGAGTTGAGTGATTACATTTTCTTCCTTTTCATAACGAGACAAAAATTAAAAAAAAAAATACAATCCTACCAGTTTAGTGCATTGTCTAACTACTAACTAGTAAATATGGCATGGCTTGCACATGTTAATTTATTTTGTTAGAAAAGGTTTGTTGATAATGTCTTGATTTTCTGGCAAGAATAACTGAAGGACAAACCAAAAGATACGTGTCACAAGTCAGGGTAAATGAACTGCTTGGCAAAGAGAATAAAGTTGCCCTTAAGATGCCAAAAGGATCTTTGGGTTCTGTTTTAAACCTAAGACATGCTGGCTGTCTTCTATACACGAAGGCATCTTCATTCAGGGATCATGTACACAAAATACCTAAGAGTATAAAAAGCAAAGCTGATGGCCTACCTACCTTGATTCAATACCCATTTGGAACTTGGCTCTGCCCCACAATTCTGTTTGTGGTAAATTCTCAGTGTATCCTGTACTTTAGCTATACAAGCCATTCATTCAAAGTGGGATGGATGGGCCAACTGGGAGTGTAGACATGAGTCCCCATGACTAGAGGAAGTGTCCTGGAGAAGGCTGGGGGATTGCTTGTTAAGAACCACCTGAGTGCCCAACCTTAAGATATTGCAGTTAAGAGATCTTCAAGATTTTTCATCCCTGAGATTCCATGGTTCTGAATTATTTTAGTGGTACATCAATTAGTAAGCACTCTGGATTGTGCCCATTTTTATTGTCATCAACATTTATTTAAATTCTATAGTTATATGCTTCTGTTCTATGAATTTGGAGCTACAAAAAGGCTATCCTATGAATCCAAAGTATGATGGAAGTACATCACTCCATTCATCAACCACTGTACTACAACCACAATGTAAACTCTCTAGCTTACTTGCTGATAATAGCTCAAGATTTATGAACCTTATACTAGACTGACATGCTCTTTAAACTCCTTTCACTGGAGATTCATAAAATTTAATAGAATTTTCCAGAGCTGCTACTGAAAGCATCAATGATAGATGTTAGTGGTTTTCAAAGTAAAGGCAAAAAGGAAAATGAAACTGCCATTCCACTTGGTTGGTCTCATCCTAACCTAAGCTTTGTTGATGTGGTCAGTCTGTAATGATCACACTGATTGAAAAATTCAAATCTCAGAAGTGTTTGGTGAGGATCCTAGTGCCCAAAGGGAGTAGGAGTCTAGATCATTGTGTCCAAATGTGAAACCCCAAATCACGTCAAAATATACATTCTGGGCATTACTCTAGAGATCCTGAGTCAATAGATGTATACTTTTAAGAAGCTGATTAAAAATATTCTGTTCTAACAATTCAAACTCTTTAATTCCCTGGCGGGCAGTTACCCAGTTTACAGAAAGTTAGAATGTTTAGTGTATATTTTAGAAGAAAATACCATTGGTCTCTTTTTCTGTTTTCCATTCTAATATGAATAATCAAATATCCTTTATATTCCAAGAGGTTAGATTATCTTTCTAGCGAAAAAGATAAGAAAGGCCTTTTCTGAAAGTGTAGGTTATAAGCATCCTCTAATTTAATCTTTATCCAATTGATTTTTCATGATTTCTTTTTTGAGGTACTTTAACACAAGCAGTCTTCAAAAAGCTCTTTCTAGCAGAATATTAGCTAGGAAATAATATTCTGATTAAGATGTGTTCACAGGGTCACAAACAGCAAAAACAAATAAAATAAAAACCTATCAAAAAAGAGACGTAGTTGTAATATTATGTCTGGATAATTTTTAAGACTGAGACGCAAAGGCACAAGAGAAGCTTTCCCATTTTCAAGTAAATTAAAGTATACCACGGAAAACAGTTGAGGTGGAAGAGCGTATAGAGCTCCTTGTCAGTGCCATTCTAATTCTCAGAGGGACTTAAAAGTTTTATGCACAGAGCTACACTTTAAAAAAAAAACATCCTGGATTTCCTCTAAAATTTTTAGTGACTCATTTCCATACAAGATTTTAAAATTTATGACAAATTTATCTAAGTCTAGCCATAATCCTTCCTGCTGTATTCACACAGGCCATCACACTATCATTCACATTACAGTTTAGGTGAAAGGGGTTGTGCAGTGCACAGCCCACACGGCTGTCTGTAGCAGCCCTGATGTAGTCTACCTTCAAAAGAAGAAAACTAGCTCACCAACAGGAGAGACGTTAGCTCCCTGTCATCAAGTGAACATCTTTTAAATTTATAACTATATTCTTTCTTTCTTCTTCTGGTTAAGTAATTAAAATTGGTTTGCTTTTTCTCATAGCTAGAATACTGCAGGCCTTTCAAAGTTTTAACTGTTCCCCCTAGCACCTCATCGTTAAGATTCTTTGTTGACTATTTCAAGGAGACAAAACTAACAGGAAATGAGTAACCTTGATTAATTATACCCTGGCATAGTTACCTCTGCCTCTGCCATCCAGTTGCTGGCCTTTTGAGTTGTACCAACGGACATCTTCATAGTGGTCGACTGTGAGAAGACACTCGAGTGAAACACTAGTTCCTTCTTTGGCTATGATGACATCGTCCCCTGAGTGGGAACCTGCTGAGTGCTCAAAGCTCGGAGGAAATGATGAATTGAAGGAACCATTATTTGTTCCCAGTGGGGCCATTTCATTGAAGCCGACATCTTCCAAAACAAAAGCTGCTGGCACAGTAACACTCACCACTAAAGTGAAGAGACAACAATGTGGCTTCATGGAAAAATGGGAGGAAGTCTTGTTTAGATTTGGAGAACTCAAAAGCTTCTATTCTATAACAAGAGCACGGTGGGTAATTTATTGCTTGGTATTGGGGGTTTTCCAAACAAGTGGGAGATTCAGGCGTATTTTGAAATCTTCAAGATTAAAAGATGTGAGTGGATACCAACCTAAAAGAAAGCCAGATATAAAATTTAACCAACAAAGACTCATAATGGGGTGAAACTTTTATGTTTTAGAAATGAATAGATGTGAAATTGATTAGAATAATTAGCTCTGACATCAGGGAGCAAAATAGAAAGAACACTACCTAAAAATTTCACACCGAGACCATAGAAAGAGCACTGAATTAGAAAATGGTAGGCAGACCTAGATTCTGGTCCCCACTGTGCTACTAACAAGTTGTTAAGACCTTGGCAAGTAGCATTCTCCCTTGGCCGTTTTCTTATCCATCAAATGAGACTAGATGAGACCTCTCTAAAGACTCTTCTAGTTCTGAAAGGCTATGATTCTATTTTACTCTGACAAATCTTATGCAACAGGGAGCCAAAAAGGCTAAAATATCTAGCTTAATGATCTTTTATTTCAACCTGCACCATCACCATCTGTTGTTGTATCAATAATGTAAATTAACTGATACATCATAATAGTAACGATGGAGTTCAAAATTTGAGCAATCCAAATACATAATATATTAGCTTTAAATAATGCAGAGATAATGTAGAAGGTAGTCTTCTGTTTGTTTTAATACTAGAAAGGAAATTGTACTATTACATATATGTAAGTAGTTATTGACTTCTGAAGCTTTTAGAACCTCCCTCTTGGGCAACAATGTTAGACTAAAGAATTTTCCTTTAACACTTCCTTCAGTATCCAGAGACAAAGTACAGTATATTTAACAGTTTGTGAGAATACCAAATTTTAGCTCAAAGTCTGCAAAATTAGCTCAGGGAGGAGCTGACATCTTCAATGTCTAGTTGGTAGAAATACAACTATAGAGAAGCGTGCCAGACAATAAAATATCATGAACAAAGAGCAAAATATCCCAGCTACGATTACCTTTCTGGTAATTTGATTCCCCTTTTAACTCAATGACTCTCAAAGAAAAATTTCAACTTATTTCTATAAAAGATATAGAAAAAGATGAAATGCCTCGCTTTATTTCCTATAAAAGCCCAAAATAATTAGTTTTGTAAATGACTCCCTTTTGTACTTTTGTAAAGATTGCTAGATCACAGAACATAAAAAGCACTGGATCATTGTATTTAGCCATTAAACTCCTCAAAGTCTGAATCACAGCAAGCTGTAAATGTCATTTAATTTTCATTAGCCCGTGAAATGATGATTGAATGATAATAATAATTTTCTATACCTTGCTATATCTTTAAAATATAAGAATGGACTTTTTAGAGTAAAACATAAGACTTCAAACTTTGTTATACATAGTAGCTTGAATACATGTGTTTATTTCTATTTCTTCCCCAAACCCAGCTAAAATGACACTACAGGAAATAAAGATCTTGGGCATTGGAGGGGATTTCAGAAATGGTCCAACCCATTTACTATACAGTGACTCGCTCCTTTAAATTATACTGTATGTATAGATAGAGACCAGGATTCTCTATTGAGGGAGAGTGGTGAGTGGAACAATGGAAAGAACACTAAGTAGTAAATGACTGCCATAAGCCAGGCTCTGTGCTCAGGGCGTGACATGTGTAATTTCTCAAGTTCTTTTTCAGTACAATATATACAGTTGATGGATAAGACTTTTGTCCTTTATTCTAAACTACTGCTTCCAATTGTGAGAGGAAATGACTGTGCTGAAAAAGTGTTCTAAGTCTTCCCCAGAACTTTGATGACGAGTTCCTGTGGCTGTATCCAAGTCAATGTTTTCCCAATTTCATTCATTTCTTCTATTAGCATTTTTTTAAAGTCAACTCATTATTTTACTTTCACACATTTATTTTAAAAGGAAAGTCTATATCACCTTTGTAAATAAACATTAACCATACACATAAATATGGTGAAAACAATGTTATTAACTGCTGTTTGCTAAGGGCTCTGAGCCAGAGGCGTCCTCTCTGTCGGGAAAACAAAAATAAACAAAACAGATAAACCACCCACAACTCTACCTTATTCTAATACCACCTCATTTCTTATCCTGCCATCATCCTCTTCTTTCCTACCTATTCCACACTGAGTTCAGAAACACAATTTTTAATTTAATTTAATTTTATAGAGTGTGTGAGCAGGGAAGGGGCAGAGGGAGAGGGAGTGAGGGAACCTCAAGCAGGCTCCATGCTCAGCCAGGAGCCTGGGGTGGGGCTCAATCTCATAACCCTGAGATCATAACCCGAACTGAAATCAAGAGTTGGATGCTTAACTGACTGAGCCACCCACGTGCCAGGGAACCACAATTTTATTTTATTTATTTATTTATTTTTTCTAAATAGTCCTTTATAGAGCTCAGTCAGGAAGGGGATTGGGGCACAAAGCCAAGCCCCCAGCATTGGGAGAGGCCAAGCCACAGCTGCTGCTACCCTAGGCCTAAGGCTGTAAGCAAGAGACAGCTCTGGCCCTCAGCCAGTGTCCTACCCTGCCCAACTCCAAGGACGAGCTCTGGGTATGGAGCCCTGGGCCCCAGGCCCTTGCCTCTGGGGTTCTTGAATGGAGGGTCAGTGTTTGTGACTAAATAAAGTTCCATTTTGTGGCTGTAAAGCCTCTTTTCTGTGATGTTAAGAGAATGGCTTTGCTCTGCCCCCATCAACATGGTAATGAGGGTGGGAGAACCACAATTTTAGACTAGAGGTATACATTTTCATCTATTCACCTGTATCTACTGAGCTCTATGTGCCAACCTTTTGTACTAGAGAACCTCCTCTGCCTTCATGGAGCTCAGTCTGGCAGAGAATACAGACACTAACTAAACACATGCAATATAGTAAATGCTGCCCAAGGTAAAGTACAGGATGCTACAGTAGTACTCAATGAAAGGAACTAAACTTGTCACAGAAAGCCCCCTTGAAAGCGAGGTGTGCAACAATACCTGAAGGATAAATAAGAATTGAAAATGGAAGAGAAGGGCAACCTAGGTGGCTCAGCGGTTTAGTGCCACCTTCAGCCCACGGCATGATCCTGGAGACTCGGGATCAAGTCCCACATCGAGCTCCCTGCGCGGAGCCTGCTTCTCCCTCTGCCTGTGTCTCTGCCTCTCTCTCTCTCTTTCTCTCTCTGTCTCTCATGAATAAACAAATAAAATCTTAAAAAAAAAAAAGAAAATGGAAGAGAAGTGTTTTAGTAAACGGACAGAGGAAAAAGCAGAGGGATCACTGGTTAGGAGGTGCTCAGGAAGAAAAGCTACAAGTTGTGGTAATGAGAAGGGGTGGCCTGAGCGTGCTGGGTCTGACTCCTGATTCTGGAGGGGAGCAGTCTGGGCCAATGGCAAATCTGGAGGTGGACTTTTGGAGTGGGAGGCTGAAGTGAGTGAAGGAGATAACTGTCCAATAAGAAGAAGAAGTCAGGGAGGGATCCCTGGGTGGCGCAGCGGTTTAGCGCCTGCCTTTGGCCCAGGGCGCGATCCTGGAGACTGGAGACCCGGGAACGAATCCCACGTCGGGCTCCCGGTGCATGGAGCCTGCTTCTCCCTCTGCCTGTGTCTCTGCCTCTCTCTCTCTGTGTGTGTGACTATCATAAAAAAAAAAAAAAAAAAAAAAAAAAAAAAATTAAAAAAAAAAAAAAAGAAGAAGTCAAAGAATGTGGAGGCTCAAGAGTAGGGTAGATTACTTGTAGGAAAGGGAATGTCCCCCCAGGTTCAAGGCAGCTAGAGTAGAAGACACCGGAAATAGAAAAAAAAGGACTCTCTCTCTGCTGAGATGCAGGAGCTTTAGAAGAATAAACAGCCTCTATATGAGAGGGCTGTGGGGCAAGCAGTGTCCTGGCAGTGTTACTGCCGTGTGGAATTCCTTCATGTACCTTCCCTGAGTCTCAAGTCCTGGCTCTCCCTCCCACGTGGTCCAGAGTATACCTGGATGCAGGCTGGCTTTTCCCCCAACCCCTGTAGCTCTCACATTATACTACTCATTGGCAGTCCATCCCCTCTCACTTAGGAGTCCCTTAAGCACAGGGACTGTATTTTTTATTGCTATACTTCAAAACTAGCACATATTCAATAAATGTTTACTCATGGAAATTCATTTAAATTTGATAAAGTAAATAAAAAAGTCTTTAAAAATAAATTTGAAAAAGTATGTGATATATCTTTGTAAACTGAAGAATGTTACATAATAGGGATCATAATTATGCAAACTGACATGCATTTACTAGCACTTACTATACTGAGACAGCCAATGTTAACAATCGAGAGAACTTAAGAGGCATAGTGCCTAAAGGCAGTCCTTGGGTCAACCCCAACTCCCAAAGTCTTCATTCACCATGTTGTCCTAGAAGAAAATAGTAGGGATAAAGGATTACCAAGCCCAGGTTGACTACTAAGATCACCAGAGAGCTTGTTAAAAATACTGATTCCTGGGTTCCACCCTAGCCCTAGTGAATAAGAACCTCTGGACTTGGACTTTGGAATTTATGGTGTTTAATTAGCTCCCTGGATGATTCTGAGGCAGAGGGCCCATGGATTGGCGTCCTGAGGCTATGACTATATTTCCTCATTTCCTCTACCACAGCACTGTCCAATGGTGGTACAGACTGAACACTTCCAAGAAGAGAGAACTATCACTCATGTTCCATTCTGGACTTTGATTACCCTGGATCAGTGGAACTACAGGCCTCTGAAAAAGGAGGAGTAGCAGGGAGATTCAGAGTACAGTCTCCAGAGCCAGATTTCCTGGATTTGAATCCTGACAGACTCTAATCAGCCTTGCAACTTTTGTAAATGACTTAATCTGCCTGTCTCGGTACCCTCATCTTTAAAATGGAGAAAATAATAGTGCCTGTTCTATAGGACTGTTGTGAGGTTTGAGGAAATTATCTGTATAAAACAAAGGGTCTGGCAATAGTAATCACTGAGTAACCTCTAGTAATTATTATTATCTTTTTAGATAGTGTGCTAAAACCTACATCTGATAATAAAACCATTATTTAAGATAAATGGAACATTTTTACTCAGAATACTATGCAACCATTTAAAAATCTTGGTGGGGAGAGGGGGAAACAC